TATTTGCCATATATATTAGGCGAAAGTTAATAGGAAACATCTAAAAGATAATCTTAAAAACAGTATATTATGATCAACATAATCACATTCCTTATTAAATTAGAACTGCAACACTCCCACTTGAGTATGTATTACTTAAGTAATCGGCGTAGATTTCCATGGATGATCTAGACGCAGTTAATGAAATCGTCTCGTTTAGTCGACACATATAGCAAATGTAAGTCTCAAATAGGGAATGCATATAAGAGTTAGTCTCACAAAATCTGGTAAGGGTAAAACCCAAGATGTGACAAAACCCATAATTTAAGAAGAAAATTGAGTCAAAGCAATATGTCAACACTTAACATCTTTAGGACAAGTAGGAAGCACAAAAGGGTATGACCAACACAGAATGAGTGCATCATCAAAATCTCATCAGGCAACACAATCCCAATGGGATAAAATGATTTTTATCAAAAAAAGGTACATTATGGTCAAATGAATATATTTTAGGATATACTTTCACTGAGTTTGACAAAACTCGTCCTGAGAACTACAAACATTGCAATTCAGATAATTTACACATACCAATTTTTTAAACAAGCTTCTGAAAATTTAACCTTGGTAGTGACTTTGAATAAGCTTCTGATAATTTACCCATAGAGATACGTGGTTACCACCACTGGCGAAGCTACACAGGGGCAAGGAGGGGCGGTCGCCTCTCCTCTCGTCTGAAATCTCCACCAAGAGTAAGGATTCCGCCCCTCTGCTCTTTAAATTTGCTGAATTTCTGGGTTTGGTTGTGTAGCGGCTTTACACTGGTGCGTTGATGTCTCTTGTGTTTTAATTTTTGGTGAACGGAATATGAAAAAAAAAAAAAAATAGTTGCAAAGTGGAGGACCGAAACATGCGAAGAAGATGAAGCCTTCATCTGTTCTTCCTATATGGCATCGTTTGGCAAAAGTTTTGACCCCCACCCGTTTGTTTACCCATTTTTCACTTTTCTATTCTCTTATGACCCCACCTTTTCTCGTTTAACCATTTTTTTCCTTTTTTTTCATCTCTTTTGACCCCACCTTTTTTTGGTTTGTACCCTTTTTACTAATGCTTTATTTATTCTTGTAAGTTTTATTTTCCAGTTTTATTTTTTCTTTTCTCTTTTAAAATCCCCACTATATTTACCTTAAATTCACATTATATATAAATATTGTATTATTATTATAAAAAATAACATAAATACTACTTAATGTTTATTCATACGATGTATAATAAATTAATTTAAATTCGCCTAGTCCGCTTATGCTTTCGTCTAGATCTTGCTTAGGCGCTAGATGCTAACCCACCCCCAGCTAGCACCCTAACATCTTTCAGAACTTAATCTTAGCCAATTTAAGCTTCTTACATTGGTTTTGATGTTACCGCTTATAGGATAATGCTAGATGAACCAAAATTTTTAAACCAAATTCGGAAACCAAATGATGATTGGATTATTAGTTAGGTGTTGATTAACATGTTTATTTCCTATTTGTGACACATCATTTATTTTGCAAATTTGGTTTAAAATTTCGACATCCCTAACATTACTCCCGCTTACAACCGCTCTGGTGATAGAGTGTTTTCTGCTATGAATATTGTCAAAACTATGCACTTTTCAATGCGAAAGCAATCGCTTTGATTGAACTTTGCACACTTTTGAATTTCGCCCCTCCCTTCTACCAAACCTGCCTTCGCCACTGGTTACTACCTCCATAAGTTGCATATTCAGTTTTTTGGAACTACTAAACTGATAAGGTTGCTGCATGTTATGACGTCCACTATAGGGAATAGGTCTCCTCGCAACCAACCCCAGAGAATTTAAAGATGTCTTGCACAATGAGGTTGACTATTTCTGACACGCCTTGATCCCGATGTCCTTTGGACATCGGGATGGCCACGTGTTGGCCGATACCCGAGGGTAACGAAAGTCATTTAATGAGTGTATATGCTGAGAACATGTGAAACATGCATATAAATTTCGCTCGAACTAACCAAAATAATATAATATTCAATTGACAACATTGAAACCATAGTGATAATGCATGACATATTCAGAGTATACATCTAATTCAGAATACAAGCAGAAGGTGTTATTACAAGTAATGTCAAGGCAGAGAAGATGGTACGGAATCACTGGTAGGGGAATGCCTCGTAAATCAGATCGTATGCCTCGTTCCTATGTCCTGAGAAGGCGTAAAACAAACATGAGTGGACCAAGTTGATATATATATATATATATATATATATATAATACTAAAACAGTTATTCATCAACATACTAACCCCCAAAGTTTTATGAAAACTCATATAGCATAATAAGTAGTAGGTTTTCCGAAAACCCTAGCATGCCATAAAACTTCATAAAACATATATCATATATAATGTGCTAACTTGGTATCATAATCGACCCATAGGCCCCTACATCACTCGACCCGTAGGCCAAATATATAAATATCTTCCGACCCGTAGGCTCCTACATCACCCGACCGTAGGCCCCTACATCATCCGACCCGTAGGCCCCTACATCACTCGACTCGTAGGCCAATAAGTATCATCACCCATAGGTAGAACAGTGACCACTAGATAAGCGCAAAACATTGAATATAATCTTTCCAATATACGTACATATATCTCAAAACATCTTCATAGTATATAGTCATTCATCATATATAATACAAAGAGTGTAAAAACATGTTCATAAATACTATATAGTCATCCATCATATATACTACAAAGAACATAACTTCGATAAAGTATGGTATTCCAAAATATTATCAGTAAAGCATGATAATTATAAAGTGTAAATCTAATATACTCATAAAACGTAACCATTAAATCATGCTTTTTTATATATGCATTTCTACTATTAAAACGTGCATTTTAAAAAGGGTCCACTCACAAATACTCCGTCGTCGATGAGTTATGCGAAATAGGAAGGATCAAATCGCCACTAATAGTCGCACCTAAGCACATAAAGAGTCCAATTAATAAAACTCAATCATAACGATTGAATTTCAGGAAACAAACGTCAGAACAGATTTAGGACGTCGAAAAACATAAATGGGAACCTTAGGTACCCCCACGCACCGCCGTGGATCGCTGGAAATTTGATGGAAAAATTCACCAATGTCGCCGTGAATGGCGGTGAGTGTGCTCCACATGCCGACATTGGTAGACCTTTACGCACTCCCACGTGGAGGCCCACGTGCGGCTTGGGTTCCTGGGATTCGACTGGGTTGGGTTGAATCCAGGTCTAGGCTTGGGCCTAGGGTATTAGGTTGGTAACCCGGCCTAGGGGAAAAAGGTCATGGGTTCAACGGGTCGAAGGCCCTAGGTTGGTACAACCAGGCTTGGGCTTGAAAGCCTGACCCAAGGGTTTTTTGGTTGGGTTTAGGGTTAAACGGGCCGAGGGCCTGGGTCTTTTTGGGTTTGGGTTGTTGACCCGTTTTTCATCTGGAAAGAAGGCCGAAGCCTTCCGAGCTTCGGCTAACTCTGTCTCACCATTTTACCCTCCGATCCTACGAAATTGAACATAGAGACGAGGGGAAGAGTTTCGTACCTACGATACACCATGAAGTAGCTCGAGTCGGCATGATTCTGGGCTCGTCGAACCTGGGTTCTCAATTTCTCTGTGCTTCACAGAGACGAGGAAGAGGGAAAGAAGATCCACCATGGTAATGGTGGTGTTGTCGTGTTTCATCGGGTATGGGTGTTTGGGTGTGTGGATGGGTGTGTCACCGGGAATGAGAGAATAGTGAAAGAGGGAGAGGTTTGTGAGAATGAGAGAGATCCGAGAGAGTGACTCGGGGAGATAAAAAGAGAAAGAAGAGAGGGACAATGATTTGCCACGTGGTAGGTAGAGAAAGGAAGAGAACCTTAGGGAATCCAAAAAGGGGGATCCGGATAGAGTAGAAAGTAAGGGGGAAATGTAATTTTTATAGTTCCTTTAAGAATAGATTTTTATATATTTGGGACAGGGTTTTACAATTTCATTCTTCTCACTATGCTTCCTTATGAAAACCGATTTGTATCCAACTAGCTTCACATTTTGGAGGTGTTAAAACTACAGGCCAAAAAACTTTGTGTTTCGTTTTGCTAAAGAATCAAGTTTGAATAAGATTGCATGTTTCTAGTTAGACCAATATGTTATAAGACAACATTCATTAACAGAACGAGGCTCGATTTATTTTTTTAGTTTTAAATTTTCAGTTTTCATTTAATTAAAAAGAAAACTCTTTTAGTAACTACTTTAATTTAGTCTTTAGCTTTCAAAATTGAAAGCCAAAGTTTGGAAACACTTGAAACTGATTGTACAGTTACAAAACGAGTTTTCAGTCAAATGAAATGGTTATTAAACAGTTGCGACATTTTTTAAGTTTTCAAATTTTGGCTTTCCATTTTTAGTGTTATATTTTATTTATTTTTTCAAAATTGAAAACAAATTGTTATAAACAGCTGCAACTTTTAAGAGTTTTTTCAAGTATGGCTTTTAGTTTGAATTTTATTTTGTTGAAAAGTGAAAACGAAATGGTTATCAAACAACTCCAAAGTTTTACATTTTAAATTTAATTACCAAACATATTTCTACTTTTATTTTTCTTTTGCAAAATATCATTATCGAATAAAACTATCATTTTGTAAAGAACAAATTTATAATTAAAAATCATTTTGTAAAACAATAACAAAGAGACCGTAAATGGAAAAAGCTCATGACCGCAGATGGCAAAAGCTCCTGACCGCAATGAGTCAATCAACCTAGACTCCTCTTATGGCCTTTGTTACAAATAGAAGGGTGGGCACTAGTAGGGTGCTCGATGATAAAGCATAGCAGCAACTTCTGGTGACCGGACCCCAGAACCAAAAGTTGGTTCAGTTTTAGAATTGATTTCAATTCCTCAAATGACTAGTTGTTGATCCATTGAAAATCACGAAAAGTAGAAAATCAAGCTCTGAATTCTGAACCATTGAAAAGTTAGCAAAGAAAAATGGAAAGCAATGAACAAATTTTATTGCTAAAGCGCTTTGTTTCTTGCAAAACAAAGCCAAAATTTATACAATCAACTACAAAAATGACTAACTCCAACTCTAGAAACTAATTAACACAATACAACTGAGAGCTGCACACATTTTTTGCAGCTTATGTGTATCGTTTATCCACCAAGAACAAATTTCAATCACATGTTTGCTTTGCCATGCGATTCTTCGTCCTTATTCTAAGATCATGAACCACACTTTTCTTGCACCTCAAGTCAGTCTGATGCAAGTCAAAGAATAAATAGTTACCAAAATTGTAGTTATAAACAAAACACAGTCAACGGAAAACCTTGCAGGACTCCCAGATGGGGCAGGAGCAGCTGTTGTTGTACCCTGTAAAGTACTCTCTGAGCTGGGTGCAACATCCGAACTCGGTGGTACATTAGATGCTGGTGCATTTATTGATGGAGCTTCGCCTTGATTTAGTGTCTCAGGTGCTGTTGCATTTAATGATGGTATCGTTTCCCTTTGCTTTGGAGCACCGGGTGCCGTTGCATTTGATGCTGGTGGAGTTTCCCCTTGCTTTGGTTCCACGGGTGATGTTGCATTTAATGGTGATGAAGTTTCCCCTTGTTTTGGTGCGTTGGGTGGTGCTGCATTTGATGATGGTGGACCTTCACCTTGCTTTGGTGCGTTAGGTGGTGCTACATTTGATGGTGATGGAGCTTCACCATGCTTTGGTGCCTCAGGTGCAGGGCTGCCAGATGGAGCCTGGACTGGTGCAGCAGATCGTGCCTTACCTGGGGTTGAAGAAGGCGAGGGGGTTGAGGCTATAAAGCTTGAGGGGAATATTATATTACTAATTTGCACCACTGATATGTAAGAATGTTCATCAATAGCAACATCTCGAACAACCACTGCTTGGTCAGAACCAGCAGTTGAAACAATTGTGATTGTGTCCCCATTTGTAACATTCACCAAGCCTTGTAGGCCACTTGGTCGGTCAATAACTTGGAGCAGTGTTTTTATTCGAATAGTCTGTGAAGCAGGCAAGTTGTGGAAACTTTGGACAGTGTAGTAGTCCATGATAACATGAAGGCTTAATACTTTTTTCTTGATCTCCATGGGTTTGTTGATTAAAGAGGCCATTGCATCATTGTTGACCACGAATACTGTCATGGTTTTCCGTTCATTGACTTGGTTAGCAACTTGGGTTTGAGTCAAGTAGGTGCTGAAGAGGCTAAAATCTGGGTTGTCGCTTAGAATTTTGGTGATGTCAAAATGACCTGATGGTGGTAGAGGATGAGGGGAAGGAAATGGTGTTGAGGTTGATGGAGAATGAGATGAAGGAGATGGAGATGGTATTGACGGAGAAGGAAATGGAGATGAAGATGGTACTAATGAAGAAGGTGAACTATTCGAGTCTGAAGGAATAATTAGATTGCTTATTTGCACGACTGATAGTTTCAAGTTCTCCGTAAATATATCTTTAACAACCTTTGCTTTCTCAGAGCCAGCAGCAGAAACAATCGAGACTGTGTCCCCATTTGTGGCATTCAACAAACCTTCAAAGCCAATCGATTGGAAAGTATCTTGGAGCAATGTTGTCAGTTGAGTGGTTTGGGAGTTAGGGAAGCTTTTAAACTTATCAAAGGTATAGTAGTCCGTAACAACGTGAAGGCTTAGTAACCTTTTCTTAACCTGGTTGGATTTTCCAACTAAATAGGACATGGCAGCGTTGTTGACCACAAAGACTGTGATGGATCTGCGTACATTAATCTGGTCACAAACTTGGGTGTCGGTCAGGTAACTATTGAATTGGTTGAAATCTGGATAGTCGTTTAGAATTTTGGTTATATTGAGAGTTGATGAAGTAGGTGATGAAAGAGGAGATGATGGAGAAGGTGAAGGTACTGACGAAGAAGGTGAAGGTACTGATGGAGAAGGTGAAGGTACTGATGGAGAAGGTGATGAAGATGGTGAATTTAAGCCTGAGGGCATTATTATCTTGCTAATTTGCACCACCGATATATAATAATTTTCATCAGAAGCAATATCTCGAACTACTGTTGCTTGGTCAGAACCAGCAGCTGAAACAATCGAGATTGTGTCACCATTTGTGACATTCACGAAACCCTGTTGGCCACTTGGTTTATCAGAAGCTTCAAGTAGTGTGATTATTCGAGTTGACTGCGAAACAGGCAAGTTGTGGAACTTCGAGATGGTATAGTAGTCCAGTACAACTTGGGTGTTTAGCACCTTTCTAATCATGTCCATTGGTTGTCCTACTAAAGAGTACATGGCTTCATTATTGGGCACTAGGATCGTAAGGGTTCTGCGTTCATTGATCTGGTTACAAACTTGTGTTCGGGTCAGGTAGTCGTTGAAGATACTGAATTCTGGGTACTTGTTTAGAATTTGGGTGATGTTAAACATGGATGATGAAGGGGATGGAGAAGTAGTTGATGGAGAAGATGATGAAGAAGGTGACGGGGCTGGAGAAGGTGATGATGGATGAGGTGTTGAAGTTGGTGAAAATGCTGATGGAGACGGTGAACTACTTAAGCTTGAAGGCATAATTAGATTGCTAACTTGCACCACTGATATCCTATAAATGTCATCAGGAGAAATGTCTCGAACTACCTCTACTTTTTCAGAACCGGCAGCAGAAACAATTGAGACAGAGCCCCCATTTGTGATGTTCAAGTAGCGTTGTTGGTCAGGAGATTCGAACAGTGTGGTCACTTGGGTGGTCTGTGATGTAGGCAAGCTCTTGAACTTGTTAAGGGTATAGGATTCCAGAAACACGTGGATGCGTATAACCTTGTTGATCACGTCCATTGATTTTCCTGCTAAAGAGGACATTGCAGCATTATTGACAACTAAGACGGTCATAATTCTGTGCTCATTGATTTGGTTGCTAACTTCGGTTTTGGTGAGGTAGTCGTTGAAGATGCTGAAATCAGGGTACTTGCTGAGAACGTCCGTGATGTTATATGCAGACGATGACGAAAAGAAAACGAAAAGGAAAGATAGCAAGAGGTAAGCAACGGGTGCATTGAACTTTTGTAAATACATTTTGAGATTTGATTACAGATAGAGGAGCGAAGTTCAGATAAAGAATGAAAGAGGTGCCTATGAGTAGGTTGAAAGATGGATCTATTTATATGTGTTTGAGGAAGAGTGAGTCTTTGCCCCGCCAAATGTGCAGGAACATGTTATTGTTTGGTTGCAAAAGAAGGACAAGATGGATGGTCATGGTAAAGGAAGAGTCGGTCTGTCCGAGTTGACAATGTTTTCGCACTTGAAACTAGTCTAAAAATAAATCAACAATTTAGTACATTTTTATATCTACACATGTGCATATGCCCAATAATTTTTTCACTGCATAACATATTTTTTATCTCATGTCAAATTTTTTCACGATATTTATTTCACCTTCGCAACAATAGTGTTAGGACGTGAAGTGTTGTTCTCCATCTGTAAATTAAGAAACCGTTTAAGGACTTATAAAGAGTTGAGTCACTCTTAATTGTCAATTATTTTTTAATAATTTTTTCATGTTACAAAGGTTAATTAGTTCATGTATGAAGCTTTACGGGTTAGAAAATAAAGAAACTTTGTGAGGGTTTACAACAAATTAGGTTAATCTATTATTGAAATTGGTTTTAGGGTGGAATATTAACTCTTCCGAATGACCAACACAAAAGTAGATGCCAGATGAAAATCTGCAGGAAAATCAAATTAATCACGTTTAAAAATTTAACGACTCTGCAGTTTTGAGCGGTAATGGTAAATAATTCAGATAAATGTAAATAATTAAGAGAACCAAACTGATTCTTTGAGGTGGGTTTTCTAAGTATTTTTTTGGGGTGGCCGTAGTAAATAATTATGATAAATGTAAACGAAAGTTGGCAGATTCACACTCCAAAAAAAAAAAAAAAAAAAAAAATTGTTGTCAAAAGATTATGTTTGCATGGCAATTGCAGAGACCACAAACAGTCCGGGTCTTATGTGCATCTAACTTTGGGTAAACTTTACCGCCTCTTACGTTTACCTTTCACATTCGTTTTTCCGTCCTCTTCCTCCACTTATTCCTCCCACCAAACATAAAAACTGATTACTGGCTTCTAAGTTTGTACAAGGAAGCTGACTTTTACCCACCCTTAACTTTTTTCTTTCCGTTTCTCATACACTTCTATTTATTTTTTACCATCAAATCAAATAAATGAAATGCATATAACGGATATGATTAAGCTTACAAGTATAAGACGAAAATAAGAGTGTGTTTATCATATCTTTTTGTTTAAATACATACAAATTAGGTCTTAGGTTCAATTATCGTCAAAAACGAATTTGAACCACATTATTGTTATCTCATTATGAGACTTACCCCTATCCTCTTAATGTAGATAATATAATTTGTTCAAAAAAAAAAAATACTGACAAATTGCTTTACTTTGATGTGAAGTTGCAAAAATGACACAATCTAAAGCTAATCGTAACGGCTATGACACATTTTTCAATTTTCTTGTCATTTCATGTGGTCGAATATTCTAGATAATCAATTTTGTATTTACATTCAAATGTGGATTATTATTATTATTATTATTTGCATTCAACTTAGGGAAAGACTATTTACATTAATTTGTATTTACATTGCAGTCTGTTTGAATTTTAATCTAAAATTACATTGAGCCATAATTTTTTTTTTTTTTTTTGGAGGAGCCAGCCAGTAATACTAGGCTATTATTACTAACAAATAATTTTCCTTTATTTACGAATCAATTTGTTTTCTGATAAACCGCAATACTAGAAGGTATACAAAGGATCAAAACAGAAATATTAAGCAATAAAAACAGTAACGTGTTTGAGACAACTTGCTAGTTTCAGAGTGAAATCCCTGCGCTGATCTGAGTATGTTAATTCTTTTGACCTGTGACATGTACAGCCCTTCAACTTTCCTCTATATTTTGTACATTCCCTCAAGATTTGAACTTGTGTAAATTCCATGCATGAGCAAGAAGTAAGAATGCAACAGGAATCACGACAAGTTTTCGAGACTTTTCCCCTCCGAAAGGGACATCAAGCGTGTGGACATCTTTGGAAATGGAAAACATGATGCCTGCAGAAAATCCGCTGGAAAATCGCACTGTTCTGCAGAATGATGGGGACGACATGACCAAGCTGCCTTAAGCGAGAACCTCCCGAGTAGATGGGAGGAAGATAGATGGGATTCTTTAGAAGTACTTACAAGGCCAAGTAGTTGTATCTGCAAATTCGTACACACGAATACATTAATGAAATATGTATGATGATGATCGATGTGCTTATTTTTACAGGAAACTAAACGTATACACTTCAGCGCATGTTACCAATTAATGAAATTTCATGCAGTGATTGAAAAAAACAAAAAACAAAAAAAAAACAAACAAATAACAAGTGAATAAATTTACCTCGCAACCACGAGCCTTGTTTTCCACTCTGTCCACAATTTCTTTCATGCCACCCATTTATACAATGATATAATGTTATTAATTGATGTAAATTGAACCGGCTCAAGTGTACCATTAGCTTTCCATTTTCCCTGCCCCTCTTCCCCCACTTCTTCCTCCTCACTCTAACAAGAGTATGAGATATACTCGTGGATTTGAAAAAGAGGTATTTATAGAAAACTTGGTCGATAAAACCGATGGTGGGTCGAAGCTTGTTCATATACGTACAGACAAATTGTTCATTAGTTTCACGTGAAGTTACAAAAACTACACATGTAGTTCCAAAAATCTAAAACTAATTGAAACAACTCTTTTTTTTTTTTTTATTTATTTTTATTTTTAACAGAGGATAGCGATAATAGGTTAAATTGTTAAATTGTTAAATGTTAGGGAGAAGGGGGATGGGTGAGGATTGAACCCACATCAGGCCCGAGTGCATAGATATTATTGTTTTCCTCTACTGCTAAAGCGTCATCTAATAATTGAAACAACTTTTGACATACTTTCAATGTGAGAATGTGAAAGTAAAAAAGTCTCATATCGATGAAGGGAGAAACCTTGTAAAGGCTTACAAGAGGTTGGATGAATCCCCATATCGCTAATGGAACCCCAACTTCTTCATGGTATGAGAGCATGTTGCACCACGTGTGCTACACGTGCTCCATGTCATGTGTTTGACTTAAAAATTCGCCATACATAAGAAGACATGTGATCACCAGAAAATTAAAAACTTGTTGAAATAAAGAGAACCTAGATATAGATGATACCAAGACAAAAATTCAAGTCAAAGATCCCAAATCATATGAGGACATGTTTATATGAGAGAAGTCATGAGTGAGATATATTGATGCACAAAATCAGCGAGGACTTTGGTACAACAGAAAGTGTCAGGTTTGTGACCTTCGCTTGGTTACTTCGATCACTAGTGAAGATAAGTACGTAAATGAATAGGGACAGGGAAGCAAACACAAGATGTACGTGGTTCACCCAGATCGGCTACGTCCACGGAGTAGAGGAGTTCTCATTAATTGTGAAGGGTTTACACAAATACATAGGTTCAAGCTCTCATTTTGTGAGTTCTAGTGAATAGTTTAGTACAAAATGACATTAGAGATTATTGTGGGAGAATGATCCCTATTTATAGAAGAAAGTTTCTAGTTTTGTTCTAACATTGACACGTGTCGTGTTGTGATTGGCTTCTGATGTTGACACGTGTCGCGCTGTGATTGGCTTCTGATGTCGACACATGTCGCATTGTGATTGGCCTCCTAGTTGAAGGGAAGCTCTTCTGGGTCCTTGACGGTATAACGTTGACCGGTGCTCAGTAGTTTCGGGATTGGTCAAGTATGGTACAAACAGTGCTCCCCTAAGTTCCCGAGTGAGGGAAGCTCTTCGGTTGGGGACTTGCAAGATCTAAGCCATTGAGTAATCACAAAACTTCTAAGTACTGAAGTGTGGTATTATTTTCACGTGCCTTATCTGTCTCATATGTAGATGTGGCATCTTCTCTGGAAGTACTTTTCCTCCATCCATGGGTGGTATCTTTAACCGATAAAGATGCACAAGGTAATGTATCAATTTCACTTGAAGCTTACTTGTAGTTTCGGGCTTGGTCAAGTGCGATACAAACCCTATAGTAGGAGTCCCCCAAGTCGCCGAGCTAGGAGATCTGCCGAAAGAGGTGACAGACAAGGCAAGCAGTCAAACTTCCAAGCAAGCAACCCATGATCGGAGGTTCGACTTCGGCTTCCGGTTGATTGTTCTCCTTCTCCTTATCTCTCATTTAGCTGCCAGGATAAGGAGAAGCAAATGGAGAAGGGATGATATGAGATACTTTTGCTTTTGAAGAAGTAACTTTCCACAGGCTTATTCTTGAACTGTGCTGGAGGGTTTTCTGGTTCCCTTCAGAGTATAAGGCCGACTTAAGAATTTGAGGGTCAAAACAAGTCCATCAAATCTAGAGTACGTTCGACCTTGATGATATGGGATACTTTTGCTGTTGACGGAATAGTGAAGGTGGTATGGAAAGGTGTCGTGCTGTAGTGATCTGTTTCAGCTCACCGTTGAACCTTCTGCTTCAATCTTTTGCATGGCAGAAGTGGTGTGCAACCTTTGCATTTAAATGGTCCTTTAGAACATTTCTTCATAGTGACTCATCCACGCTTGGCAGCTTCAGTGTAAAGAGCCAATATCTGATCAACTGTCATGAGGTATGTGCTGGTGGAATTCATGACCTTGACAGCAGTTGAGGATGAGTTCTCGAGAGCAATGCTAAGTAAGCAACCAGGCAAAGGTCTCAGGCAGTCAGTTCCAGATTGGAGGTTTGATTTCAGGTTCCGACTGACTGCTCTCTTTCTCTTTGTCCTGCATGTGTGGACAAGGATGAAGACAAGGACAGGGAGAAAGCCTGATATGGGATACTCTTGCTTTCGACCCTGATGATATGAGATACTCTTGTTCTTGGTGTGGCTTATTTGCTGAGGTATTATCGGGGGGAAATAAAGCTGAGTATTTCGAGAGGTTATGTTAAGGGTGCCTTCTCGAATGCAAGAAAGGGTTGAGCATTTTTTCAGGTTTGCCTGTCCGTTGAGGAGGGAGGTCGATGTATATAGGGATTTCCCAATAACAATTAGTAATGCTATTCCT